AATGGGTAGACGCTAACGTAGCGCACGTAGAAAAGTGGGACGAATCAAGAAATTAAATCAAACTTTCTAAAAGTTTTATACAATTATCTTTATGATCTATTACAATTTTTAATAGAATATATTTGTTATATTAACGAGAAACCGTCTCATTTTCACACAAATGAAGGCTATTGTGGAACAAACCAATAATAATTTACTATAAACGATAGACAGAAATATACAATGACGTTGTTGTTTAAGGACAGAGAAAAAAATAGATTAGGAAAAGTTGTAAAAATACCTCGACTAGACAACAAATGTAAGTCGGTGTGATCAACATTCAAGTACTCAAAATATGAATAAAAGAAAAAAAGAAAAAAAAATGTATGTTAAAGTTTCTCTGAAAAAAAAAGCACCATGTCTCTACGGAAAAAAAGAAAATTTTTAATAATCTACGAATGGACACATAAATCAAAATCACTGTACTTTGATGAATAATAATAATTGTATGTTTTTCACTTGATTTATTTACCATGTACCATCGAGCAAACTTTTATAGCTGCTTGTTCAAAGTCATTCTCAGCTGTTATCGGTAACGCACTATTTTGTAGAATTTTTCGTGCCTCATCCATATTTGTACCTATTTAATAGAAAAGATATTATAAACACTATAAATTTTATTACAAATAAATTAATCATACCTTGTAATCGAACGACTAGCGGGATTTTTAAACCCAATTTTTGACACGCTTTTACAATTCCATTAGCGATAATAGCACAATTGACAATACCACCAAATATATTGACAAGTACAGCTTTAACCTAAAATGAAAAACGCAAGCTTTCTGGTAGATTGAATGAGATCTCATGCCTTCATATCAACTGAATGAGAAATTTAGTAATGAATCAGTTAAGAAGTTACGAGTATGATTACCGAGCTCCGCGCCGAAAAAACTCTGTGAGCTATTTGTGAGCTAACATGACTGAGTAATTTGCGAATAGTTTAAACTAATGTTTATGGCTGCATGCTGAAACATTTGTATAGTTAATTTTTATCAGTGGATCGTAAATTCGAAGATCTCTCTCAAGACATGAAACCTTAAGAATATTTTATTATACAAAATTTAATCTACTGCACATTCGTATCATGTTGATTGCCCAGCTTTCTTCTGCCTTTTTCTAATTTGTTGTTTAATGAAAATTGTTGAAATGAGTATCGAATACACACAATTTTGCAGAACTTGTTATTACGCGTACTTTGAGCTCAGCTCATACACAGCATTCTCATAATAGATTGACAAAACAAATTGAGTACAAGATCAATCCGTTTATTCTGAGCTTCAAGTTATTTTTTCTTCGACCACTCCTGATGATGATTTATTTTTTTTTTCTTACAAATACTGCGTATGACGTTATAAGATATATAAGAAACGTTTTATCGAACCTGCGAGTCATTAAATAAAATTTTGAATGCGTCCAATACTTGCTCTTCTTTGACACCACCTAGAAAAAGAAGCAAGATTATTCAAGAAATTCATTTTTAATAATAACAGATACTAACCTCCAACGTCAAGAAAATTGGCCGGTTGACCACCGTGCAATTTTATGATATCCATAGTTCCTAAGACAAATATAAAGAAATCACATATTAAATCCAACACAAACATCAACTTTTAAAGCATACCCATAGCTAGTCCGGCTCCATTAACTATAAAAAAACGAAAACCATTAGTGTATAGTAGTTCAAAATGATTCAAAATCGAGATGAATGAACCTAGTGCTCTAATGCGTCCAAATGAGACATACCCAAGCAACCAATATTTCCTTGTAAACCAATATAATTTAGTCCAGCTTGTGTTGCTTCCACTTCACGTTGGTCACTTTCACTTGTATCTTCCTGATCGAATACATTTTGTTGGCGAAATTTTGCGTTATCGTCAAAACTTAATTTGGCATCAAAATTAATCACTAAAAGCACAGATTATAGAGTTGAGAAGGACTTTTTTTAAGTTTAGATTGCGTATAGACAGAAGAAAAAAAATGAAAATTGTTTTACCGCGTCCATCTGGTGTTTCGCCGAAAGGATTTATTTCTATTTGTGTACAATCATATTTCAAAAATAGTTTATATAATCTGAGAATTTGTTCAGCAGCCTACGTAAAACGAATAATGAAATGAACAGAGCATATAAATTTTGTAAGTCGACATTTTTTGTGATGTCAACGAACCTCATTCGCTAATTTATCTTTGAAACCAAGTTTAACGGCCATATCATGTGCTTGTTCTTTTTGCATCCCACGTACGGGATCGATAGGAGTCTAAACACATCAGCTTAAGATAAATTATGCAAATTACGAAAGTCAATGAATACACACCGTATAAATTTGATCAGGCGTTTTTTCAGCTACTTCTTCAATATCAACACCTCCACACGGAGAACCCATAAGTACAGCACCGCCATAAGCACGGTCCAATAAGATGGCTAAATATGTTTCACGTGCTATATCCAAGGCTTCGGCTACCATAACCTAAACTCAAAATTAATCAAGATGAAACAGAAATTTTCAGAGAAAAATTGAATACCTTTTGAACTTCGACTCCTTCTTTCGGTGTTTGTTTTGTTACTAAGCGATATTTAACCATTTGTTTCACAATCTTTTGTGCTTCTTTTGGACTAAAAAAATGAGAAAAGAATTCTCAAGATCGTTTCAACCATAATAAATAGTCTTACTCTTTGGTTAATTTGACTCCTCCCTTTAGTCCACTATCAAATGTACCCTTTCCACGACCTCCAGCCAATATTTGTGCTTTAATAACTAATTCTTTAGCGATTGTGTTCACTAAACAAAAAAATATGGATATGAAACGAAGAAGCATCCAATAAGCTCATCCTTCTTACTTAATTCTTGTCCAGCTTTGAATGCATCTTCTGGCGTATCAACTACCTGAAAACGTTGTACATTTAAATTATTCTCATGAAGTATTTTTTTGCTTTGATATTCATGTAAACTAATCCAACGACGTGACTAAAGCAAGAAGAAAACGTTTATCTCTCTGTAATATTAGATCATGAATAAAAATAGTTTACTTGGTAAGTACTCGTCGATGATGCTATTAAACTTGATGAATTACGGATCGACAAATCGCACAATCGAATTATAGCACGTGAATTCATCTAAAATAAAAGATGTACTAAACTAATCCTAAATTCTTATTAACACGATATATTAGCAGAGCTCAAGGTGAAAATACTCCCGTAAAATGACACCTTACCATTATCTCCCAAAAGCCATGCGAAAATAGTAACTGTCTTCATCACAACAATTGAAATGAAGCTCATTAGAAAAGAGATTTAGCCTACAACAGAAACGAAAAAAATTCAATTTACACGTGAAAATGTTTTGAATTAAATCAACTAATTTTTGAAGAAACAGACACAAGTTGAATTCAAACTCGAAAGTATACTTTTACTTTCATCATATTTCCATTGGCAAAAAAAGCCACATTATCAACAATTCTATCTTGAAACTAGGATTATCCGTACCGATAGGCAACAGAAAAAATAAATAGTTAAAATGCAAAAGATGTTAGACATCGTTCTGTTGATCCATTATCTCTATAAAGTCAATGCATAAACGAATATTAGTGAACGGATTATATCACTGGTACATCAAAACAGCTAATCACTAATTTTTAATTTTCTACACTGTATTTACAACAATAATTATTATTTGTTTATTATATTATTATTCTACTGTTTTTCTACTGTTTAGTTGAATTTTTAAGTTTTTTATAGCTTCTGCCATTGATGAGTTTTTTACTTAACATAAAGTATGAAAAATTAACGAACTGTGGCGACAATAGAGAAAATAGCTTCAGGCCAACATCCCTTTTTGTTGATTGTCATTTTTTAAACTCGTTCCACTTGTTTCTAGGCTCTTTATGAATTAAGACAATGTAACCAGAATACTGTTTCTAATCAAGTTTTTTCGTCAGTTCTACAGGTACTCTGCGGTTTCTTTTCGCAAAGTGTACTTGTACGCGCAGCAGGCAAATATAATAAGTTAGGAAATTAGCTCACAAATCAGCCTTGTGGAGTTTTTTCGGAAAAAAACTCTATACACGGATAAAGTTACTGGATATTAAGACAAAATTCAGGGGCCAGGGGCCTGTTTCTCAAAACAACTTAAGTGCGGCGTGTTTCTCGAAAAAACTTAAGTTTTACTTAAGTGAATAATTTCACTTAAGTAAACAGGAAATTATACTTAAGTGTTTTTGAGAAACTCACTTAAGTAAAATATTTTACTTAAGTTTTTTTGAGAAACAGGCCCCAGTTCTTGTATAACAGAAAAAATATACTTATGCTTATCACAAACTCAACGATTGTTTTGAGGTAACAGCAAAAAAATCAAGTCTTGTATGTACAACTATCTGTTTCTTATAGTAGATAAGGCCGATGAACACACAACAACTTTTCTGCTCAGGGACGGTCTTGGATTCGATATTATTAAACAATGTACTCGGAAGCTTCCTCCTTATTTATTTTTATTTAGTCGAACCAGAAGAAGCTAATTTGTTTTTTTATTGCAATTCGTTATTCTTTTGTTTTATTCCAGATGAGTGTCACATTATATCGATTGATAAACTTAAAAAACCATAGTGTCATTTCAGTGTCAAAAGACAAATACAAAATTGGACGTGCAAACAGTGAGTATTCTCAGTGCGTAACGTAATACAAGTCCAAGGTTTCCAGCTGTTCTCAGGGATGGGAGGGACTAAAAATTTTGCTTCGCAGAAAAAAGTTTTCGAAATTTTTCGCAGAACGTTGCTGATGGGAAAACGTCAAAGGTTTTGCCAGCAAGAGTAAAAGTTTTTTTAGGGAGGAGCCAGTGCCCCTCTGCCCCCTCCCTCTTCTCTGATCGGGAATCCTGCACAAGTCACTTATAATACAAGCACTAAAGATATTTTTAGATAATGATTTTTCAATTCCAAATAATCGGTATTTGTCATCAACACATTGTATGTTTGAGTATGATGAAGGAGAATTATATATTAAAGATTTAAGTACAAATGGTACATTATTAAATAAAAGTCAAAAGTTGCCCAAAAATATGGTAAGTTAAATTGTTGTTCAGCTTACACAATATGTTTTTCTTTTTCATTTGTAGCGTATTCTAGTGAAATCTGGTGATAGTGTTCAAATTGTATATAGAGAAGACGATCCACAATTTAGTATGTCATCTACACTGATGTAAAACCAATTACTCATAATTTTTTCTCTTGTTTGTTCTAGATATTGTATTACAAATTGATAATGCTGAAGCATTTTCGGATGAAGACAGTTTAAATACAACGCAACTTGTTAATAACGATGTGAGACTTTTTCATCTACTGCAATTTTTGTATAGTTACACCCCGTGTTCACTGTAACACATACCTTCTTCTTTTACTCTTAGACACCAATTTATGAAGATTCACAACCATCGTCGAGTGGTATGAGACATTCTATTGAAAGTTTCCAGTACTAATTTTTCTTATTTTAGATGATCAAAAGGAGAATAATTATCAATTGGCAATAGTAACAACAACAGTAACAGAAGAAGAAAAGAAAAAAAGTAATGATGTTGAGCCAAAACCAGTGAACAATCGTGAGTTTGAAATGACTGCTGGCACAGATATGGAAAAACTTTTGATATGTGCCTGTTGTCAAGATATAATTCAAAATCCACTGAGGTAAGCGGTTAAGATAGACGACATTTCATCTGTATATCTCAGATAGTTCTACACCGTTTCTGACAAATCCGATCCATATACGCGCTTAACGCTATGGATCCAATTGTAAAAATAAAAGCATCTAATTTTGATAGTATACTATTAGGATGCACGTTTTTCTCTAATTTTCTTTATATTATCCTTTAGTTGATCGATCAATCCGTCATTTCGTCGGGAAGATCAACCGTCCGTGAAACTTCACGGTAGGCTTTCACGGGTACTTATCTTGATTAGAAAAGCAGAATCCTAAAAAAAAGAAGACTCGTAGCGATCAAATCTGGCGATATCTAGCGCAGATACTTATCTTCAACACTGACATTTTCAAGAGAAGGTAGTGTCTTCTTACCATCTTTGACGTTGAGTAAGTGCTGTCCTTTCATTTTATTTGCTCTTTGAGAAAGAATTTATACTCAGTCCGAATATAGACGTTGAGATCGTGGTTCGTGACGATCTCTAAAACCGAATATTGTCTAACCGATGGTTTGAAATGACTATTCCAGTTAACACAATGTTTAAATTTGCTTTGATTTTTATGGAATTTTTCGTTTTAGTCTTGAACCTTGTCTCCATACCTTCTGCAGTGGATGTTTTCACTCTTGGGAGGCCATTCAAAGGACATGTTAGTTGAAAATGATAATCAAGTTTCTAGAACAAAAATGATATCATTAATTCTATTCTTATTTAGGTCCACAATGTCGACAAAAAGTGATTGGCAAAAAGAAGAATTTTCTTGTTAATGATATGATAGAAATTTATTTAAAATCATTTCCGGACAAACGACCTGAACCAAGACAAATTGAAATTGTCGATTTAAATAATAAAAATAATGAGGTAAACTATTTTAAAGCAAAATAACAATAAGAGAACGAAGGTATAGACGGGTTAACGGAGTCTGTATGAATATTTAGGTCGGTCGCGATGGTTTTTATTTGGATTATGCACGAGTTGAACGAGAAAATGAAGATGATGAGGATGATGAGGATATGGATGACGAAGGTATGTCTCTAAATGATAAGTAATAAATCCTTAAATCAAGGTGCCTTTTAAATTTTTCTTGTTTTTTTCTTGCAGATATTGATGAAGACTTAGACGAAGAAGATGACGACGGGATAGGATTCAGAATGCCAATTGCTTATCCTGGCCATTTTCCACCTTGCATGATGTAAATAGATTTTCTCTCGTTTCTTTTGCTCTAGACAAAGTCCGTTCTATGTTTTTCTGATTCGTAGGTTACCGGCACGTGCACCAGCACAAATCAACAGTTGTCGACAATGTTCAACGAATCTTCCTCTGCATCCTATTGGTATGTTTGATACTTTCTCATAGTTGAATTTCGATTAGAGAAATTTTGTTATATAGTGGCCGGAGTAGCAGCTGCTACATCAGTATTTAAATGTGCGCTCGGACAAAAGCATATACTGTGTCAATGTTGTATTCATCCAATGCCTGATCGACGTGGTGAACAAAATATTAGTCAACAATGTGAGTTGTTGTTACTCTCTTATCCTATAGTACGTCAATAATAGGAACTTCTCATTGACAAACATTTTTAGGTACAATATGTAATCAGTTTTATTGTAATATGTATTGGAAATGCAACCAGGCCAATTGCAAGGGGTGTTTAAATCCACTGCGGCGTAAGATGGTGCGATTTTATTTTGGAACATATGTTTAAATTTTATTTTTCTATAGAATACAATTTTGCACCACAGCATCTTGTCAATCTTGTAAATAATAATGTCATTGAAACACAAGTTTTACAAGTAAATTTTAGTTTTTTTCCACATTTCACTTGAGTATTGAGCACTTTACACGCTTCAGTTTTATTGAAATATTTATCGAAGGCGTAGCATCTTTGAAGTACGTTTGAAAACCGTCCAAATTGCACAGTTGTAATGGTCAAAAATGCGAAATTGTTCTCCTGATATATACTTATTTTTTTAGACATACCTTACATCAAAAAATATGTTAGCGAAAGATTTACTAATCGCTTGTTGCGATAGTTTAGATCAAAAATTGTTTCAATGTACCGGTATTGATCCAAATATAGCAGGTAATTTTTTGTTCCGAGAATGATTCCGATATCTATATCACGGTAGATAACCGATCTTAAAATTCGGGTCATGTTGTTTTACGAGAAAGATTGTGATTCAATTTATATTAGCGTTTTTTCTTTAGTTCCATCCGAAAAAGTTGTGTGCTATCAATGTGGATTGAAAATGTTTAAAGAATTAGCATATCAATATCGTTCTAATATCAGTCATGCTGATATTGAACCGGCTAACATGCGCGAACGTGAAAATTGTCATTGGGGTCGCAATTGCCGTACACAGTATTCAAAAGTGTATCATGCACAAAAATTCAATCATTGTTGTGAACAAATTCGTTTCCAATAAATAAACTCGTTCAATTTACTTTCTCTCTTTAAAAAAAGGTTCAGATGTATGTGACAATTTCCTTTTTCAATTTAATATTAACTGTTTCTTTTCGAAGGCAACCGTGTATTTCATTGATCCCAGTGATTGAGACTAGTCTAGTTCTCACGAGGGACTAGTTCAACAAATAATTCCTCAATTTTTTCTTGAAGTAAATATTATAACAGATAGTTTTTGATGCTGATCATGAATCTGATTAGTGTTTGTCCCCATAGACTCTTCTTGGATGAGCCTACTGGAACCAGATTTTCTAGAGAACAAACATAAGCGTCCAATCGGATACATTCTGATACTGTTAGATTGTAGGGTACATCGAGATAAGTTTTTGGAACTAAGGCATCAATTTCTGTAGAGCTATAAAACTTTCAGATCTTAATTTAATTTTAAAATCTTTTTAAAAAGTTTTGCAGCTTTTATTTCGGTGAAAGAATATCAGATTCGCCCTCACCATTAAAAACTACCCGTTATAAAGTATATCCCGAGGAAATATCAAGGAATCATTTGGTCAGGTTCGCTCATTGACGTTTTTTTGTTATTCTTCTGCTCTTTTTTGTATGTTTTTGTTGTACAAATGAAAAATTGAGATAAATAAAACAAAAATATTATTTTCAAAAACATCATTTTTTTTTTTCTATACTTAAAATGTTCAAATGTTCATCTAGATCTTTCTTTTTTTCGAAGCCGATAGATAAACAGGAGTAGAGTTTGTTTGACACATAGATAGAAAAGTTGTTATATTTTGATTGCTATCATATTGGCCATTCTTTTTTGAAATATGAGATTTTCGAATTGAAAGTATCTATTAGTCGCCTAGATTCTGCCTACTTAAATTTTGGTAATGAATAGGAATTATTAAATCAAAATCTTTAATGAGAGACATTCGACATAATAATTAATGATTTTTACTAAAGAAAAAAAAGAATAAATAATTATAGGAAAAAAGATGAGAAAAAGCCATTTGGTAATAGTATGTGGCGACATTTATCGTTACAAAATACATTGCGTTCAAATAAGATGAAAACGTAATGCGATTTTTTTTCTACGTCACACATTCTTTTCAGTCATTCTTTTCTTTTATTATTCATCTCTTCAGAAGAAGAAAGCAGATTAATCAGCATGTGCTTTTGCTCGGAATATATTTATGAAATGAGTATCTTCGTTTTAGAAAGCACTATTAGATGTGTATTTTTATATGACAGATATATAATGATATATTACTTTTAGCCGTTCAGTTAGATAAAGAATTGATCAATAGTTTATACTAACATTTTCCTTCTATAAAACTAATTAACTAATTAACTGTTGAGATAAATCATATAATCACCATTCGATAGAGAAAACTTTTAAATTTGGAAAAGACCGTGAACAGTTTATATAAATGTAATTGTAAATATCTTATTTCTAAATGTTTATAAATTGAATATCGTGGTTTTCTGTGTTTAATCTCTTTCATGACAAATTACATCAGAAAAATTTACCTCTGCATCTGTCCATTCATTTCATTTTATCGCCTCAAGCATTATTCGAATTAGTTTTCTTTTTAATTTGATGACATGAGATGATATATGTTTTATATTCACCTGATCAATTTACATCAGGGATGAATGACGACACAAAATAGTCAATTTTGATCTGTCTGAGCTTGTGCTTTCTGTACGTCGATGTGTCTGTTTCCTGTTTCAATTTTTTTTCTAAGAGATAATTATTCTAATCGACTGTAGTTCTATTCTATTAAGAAAAATGAAACATAGTTATTTCCCTGATGAATAGACTCATTATTACGTATTAAAATGAGAAGTAGTGTCGGGTCATAGTATGACAAAGTTAATTTATTTGGTCTGTTAAACAAAGACAACGAGAAAAAAAAATATATAGCTCCCAGGATTATGTTTTATTAATTAATCGAGTATTTTATACTTGATTTCAACAACAAAAGAAGTGTTAAAACAGATAAATAATTAATTTTCTAAGAGTTTATTACGATACTATGATAGAACTGACATTGAATAAACTAGTGTAGGAAATAAAAGTTAAACTTTTCTAGATCTACAAGTTACATATGGTTGAACCCGTTAATCAAACAATAGATAGGGCAAAACTCTTACCAAATAAAAGTGGATAACAGATAAAAAATATTATTTAAGATATTTAAATTAAAGTGGAAGTTTTTCATGAAGGCAAAGAAATCTATAATTCCCGTGACAAGTCTCTGTAAAATCATTTAATCATCAGATAATCAAAATAGAAAATACACGAAATTATTGATACCATAAGCCAATGACCGATTTTGTCATTTTTGACAAAATTATCTGTAATTTTATTCAAAAATCGCTTGATTTATGTGAATTTTAGATGTCTTTATCATCTCCCTCTTTGTATCCTTCTACAAAACTTTCTCAATCGTTGAATACAGATCTTCAGCATCCAATTGTACCTGGTAAACAGATTTTGAACATATTCCTTCTCTTCCATTAAAAACATATGAGTTTTCCCTCAATTCTAGTTTTTCGACCAACATATGATGAATTTAAAAATTTTTCACAATTTATTGAAACAATTGAAGCACAAAATGCACATCGAATTGGTCTAGCTAAAATCATTCCACCAAAAGAATGGATAGCACGAGAAGGTGGATACAATAATATACAATCAATGGATGTCAAGTCTCCAATAAAACAAGAAGTACATGGCAAAGATGGAATTTATGAAATTTATAATATTCAACAGAAAACATTGAATTTAGCCGAATTTGAAAAATTATCCAATAATGATCGTTTTCGTGCGCCATTAGATGGTAGGCAGTCTAGTTCACGAAAAAAATATCTAAAAATCATTGCTTTTCTATTTAGATAATCAATCGTTAGAACGAAAATATTGGAAAAATTTAACATATGTTGCACCCATTTATGGTGCAGACGTTAATGGAACTCTTTACGATAGTAAACAACAATATTGGAATTTAAATTCTTTAGGTACAATATTAGACGATTTACAATTAGAATATGATACAAAAATTCAAGGTGTTAACACATCATATCTCTATTTTGGAATGTGGAAAGCGACTTTTGCATGGCATACCGAGGATATGGATTTGTATAGTATCAATTATTTACACTATGGAGCACCAAAACAATGGTATGATACACATTATTGCAGATTGATTGAAATTGCTTGTATTCCAAATGGAAAAACTATTCTGAGTATATTATTTCAGTTTATGTGATATGTTTCATATGTTTAGGTATGTTATTCCTCCATCATATGGCAAAAAATTTGAACGTTTAGCGGCCACCTATTTTACAAATTTATCTCGTCAATGTCCTGCCTTTTTACGACATAAAATGACACTGATAAGTCCATCAATTTTGCAGTACAACTCAATTCCTTATAGTAAAATCACTCAACATCCTAATGAATTTATCATAACGTTTCCTTATGCTTATCACAGTGGCTTTAATTATGGTTATAATTGTGCTGAATCAACAAATTTTGCCATGAAACGATGGTTGGAATATGGTAAACATGCAAGTGCATGCTCTTGTCGACATGATATGGTTAGCATTGGAATGGATATTTTTGTTAAAAAATATCAGCCCGATTTATATGAACAATGGCTGCTAGGCAACGATCATACGCCTCATCCAGAATCAGATCATAACGGTGCGAGAAAACGACCATCAACATCAACATCATCCGTATCAAAAAAACGTTTACCATTTACAAATAAATTGGTTTTAAACTCATCATCCTCAATACCAACGTCCGGAACGATCTTACCATTAGTAAATGAAGAAATAACAACGCGATTTCAGCATCAACAAATAATTTCCAATGAACGTTATTTAAAAATATTCACATGTCTATCGAAATATGATAAACAGCAACATTTCGATGTTTCATCAACAACAAGAACAAATTCACTATTTTCAGTACCACTATTACGTGCAGCATTATTTCGTTCTAAATTGAAACTAAAAACACAAAATAACACATTACTCAATTTAACATCGAATATTATCGAAAAATACCAATCAAAATTAGAATATAATCTATCTTCTTCAAATAAACCATTGTGGTTATTTAACGGTTTAAAACAAGCCGGAAAATATCGTGAACAAATTCTAAGTGGATTATGGCAATTTAATAATATGAATATTGATTTTGATAAAGAAAAATTATTTAATCAATGGTTAAGTTTAAAATTACCATATTGTTCAATATGTCAATTGTTCACAATGAATAAAGATAACGAAAGTGATATTGAACGTGAACAAGAACCATTGGTAAATGATGTTATTTTTCATTTATTTAATAAACAAGTACCCACAACACCGACGACTCCAAATCCCTTAATATTAACACAATGTCAAAAATGTAAAATTGTTGTACATCAAACATGTTATGCGAATATATGTAAGTTAAATAATAATTTGACAAATATATTTGATGAACAAACAAACAATGAACAACAGTGGCTATGCCAACGATGTAAACAACAAACAAATGAAGTATGTTTAAATTAATATAATTCTATTAAAAGGTTTTTTAAATCAACTAAATTTGTGATTTTTGTTAATAAACAATCGCTTGTTTGTTCTAATCGTACACTAAAGCGAAAGATTTTATTTCTGAAACAAATACATAAATCATATTAACATAAATCGTCATTTTCTCTTTCTCTCTCTTTTTAATTTAAGGTATCGTCAGTATTATTGTCAAGACCTTCTGAAAGTTGCTCATTATGTTTATTACGCGGTGGAGCATTAATATTAAATACAAACGAAATAAGTGAACAAAAATGGGCTCATGTTATATGTTTAATTTATCATAAATCTTTACAATCATCTTCATCATTAACCAATGAAATTTCTTCTACAACTGTCAATTCTTCATTTTCATCCACATCGACTACAACGGTGACAACACTTGTACAAAAAAAAAATCAATGTCATTATTGTTGGTCATTTTGTCCATTAGATAAACGTCGTTCATCAACCACAATTATTATATGTGATTATCCAGATTGTTTTAATCAATATCATGTTACTTGTGGATTAATGAGTGGTTGTACATTTGATATTGGTAATTGGCCAAAATTATTACATACTTATTGTCATTTACATTCAAAAAATCAAACTAAATACATTTCAAATTATCGACATAAGAAAAAATTGAAAAAAGAAACATCTGATAATGAAAGTGAAATGGATGATGATGATGATTTAAATGGAACAACTATAAGTAATTATGATTTAGATCAAATAGTAATTGGAACAAATATTCTAGTAAAATCGAATAGAAATTGTACAAAAAAATATATTAGCGGAAAAATAACATCGATTGATTCCATTGTTCATTATGCCGTCGATTTTTTTGATGGTAGTTATAGTCGAGATGTGCTCTGGGAAGATCTTATTTTATCAGGAAAAGATGATATACCATTAATTGGTACAAATATCAATGTCAAATGGACAGACGATATAATTTATCCTTGTACATACGTTGGTACGTATGTTATATACAAAAAAAAATCATTTTTATCTATTCAACTTTTCTTCTTTAGGTTGTAAACAAGTGTTGTTCTATACGATTTTATTAGAAAATGGTGAAACAAAAAAAGTTCGACGACAAGAATTTCTAATAAAAAAAGAGACAGACAAAAATAAGAAATGTCGTCAATCAGTTTTAGCTAAAAAACGAAAACGAAAAATTCTTTTATCATCATCACATTCTGATTCTTCATCATCGGAAAGTCCAGTACGTGCATGTCATTCAAATTCTTCGTCTTCAATATATACGCCTTCTGATGACTCATTATTTTCTCTATCAAGTGAAACGTCAAGATCACCATCACCAATAAAAAGACGGACTAAAACTTCACGACGTTCGAAACAGAAATGATCCTGATTTGTATGTACAATTCTTATGTTTTGTTTGTCCCATGATTTTTAGCATTGTTTATAACTGCTTTATAAAAGCATTTCTTTCTATCAAGAATAATTTTTATTTATACTAAATACATATGTTTATTCTTTAACGAGAATGAACCTAACAAATCATAGTTTTCTTTTGAATTGACAAAAGAAATTATCAATCTTTTAATAAGGTAGAATTAAGGTATCTACTTTTCTATATTTCTTTTCTTTTTTTTTTCTTTTTGAAAAAGTTAAAGTTGTTTTATAGTAGGTGATGAGTTATATTATGTGGAAATAAATCGTGTTACGCATTTTTTTAATTGTTCAAGATCTTAGATAGTAGTACAAAGGAGATAGAGTCGTTCGAACAAAACATGAAAGTCGTTAGTTCATCTCATATGTCTATATGAAAACATTTTCATTTTTGTTCGCTATTAAGTCATGATATATAATGCTCCTTGTTGCCATTTCATTGTAGTTCTTACCTACTCAGAAAATTAACAGTGTAAGAAACAAATTTTTATGCTTTATTTGTTTTTCTCGACGTTCAGTGATATTTTTATTGTTGTTATTTTGATGAAATGCATTTTGTTTCCTCTAATTTGTATCTCCCTAACTCATACAAATTTGATACCGGCCAGACGTATAGAGACGAGTTTTCTTTTTCTTTTTTTGTTGTCTAATATCGATAGTTAAAATTCATTTTTTTTAAAGTGACTCGAATAGCTATTTTCAAAATTCAGTCTCTGAAAAACCCAAAACAAGTACTTTGAATGTGTCTTGAAAACTTTTACAAACATCTCAATTAAATAGAGCATAAATTTTAGAATGAAAATAAGAAATTTTTGAGTTTTTCATGACATTTTACAAAAGATAGATGTCTTTTTCACAGAAAAAACAATAGAAAGTTACTGATAAAAATTGTGAAACTGCACTCTTAAATAAATTTCATTCTGTTCAGTATTCTCTGCTCTATACCACTGAGATATTTGTAAACATTTTTCGAACAAACTCAAAATTATGATTTTCCATAGATCCAGTTTTCATTCATATAGATTATGATGGCAAAAGCGTTTATCCATTCAAACCATTTTATTAATTTTATTTCACCTATCTGAATTAGAAAGGAAAAAAACATCGTTTCTATAATGGTGATCGGTAAGAGATATATCTACAAAATATTCAAGTTGATATAATTCTTTTTTTTTGGTCTGATTAATAAAAATTCTCAAATTGGTTTCTTTTTAATTCATACGTCCGTTGTTTCATATACAATATTCTATGAGATAATTTAAATCCTCTAATTGTTGTTTTTTTGTAAATCTATATCCTTTTGGTCTTTGTGTCCCGGTAATATTGTTGCTTTGTGCTCTCTATTTCTCTTCACAACTTTTGAAAATATTCAACATAACATGCGTCCAATCTTTTATATTTAGGCTATTATGTTTCAATTTCTACTTCTAAAAGCTTTTTGTTTTCTCTTCGGAATCTCTCTGTATGTATATAAATTTATTATCTAGAAGTTTTTTATTTAAAAAAATTAACAATACGTTAGAACTATCATCGTTACACTATAGATTTTTAATTTTTGTAAAAATCGAATGTAGATTTGTTCGTTTTGTTTTGATTTATACATATTTGTCGTGTGTGTATGTGTAGAATTTTTTTATTTCTATGTATAAAATGATTTATCTTACACGTTTATATTTAGCTTTTTTTGTGTGTAATTCTTACATTCATTTTCTTCTAAGAAACCACATTTGAAGTAAAAAAAATACAAGATTATTTCATCACTTAGATTCAGAGATAACATTAAAGAGAGACTAATAATATCAGACAGATAAATACAGTGATTCAGAGCATATAGACCATATTGTATTTCTAATTAATTTGTGATATATTGATGTTGTACTTTGAAGTTGAATTTAAGATCTTATCCTACTCACAGTGTCTTCTACGCTTTTTTTTTTTACGAACTTGCCTTTTCTGCAAAAACCATAGACAATTTATTTTCTATTTGTAGTGTCAAATTTGATGTAACACTTTGTTTGTTGAGAGATTTTAACCTGTCTCGTAATGATTATTGTAAATAAGAACATAAAAGGTCTTGCTAATCATGCATAATTTATCGAGTTATCTCTAGTCCATGTGTGATTAGTATAGGGCTTGTTATAATTAATAATCTTATTGTTCACTATGTATATAGTAGTTAATGATCGTCTTAAACATTTCGGAATTTGTTTTTAAGGTCATGTAACAAATTAGAACTTGGTATGTTGATAAATATCAAATGGCTTTCATAAATAGTCGTTAGTAATAATGAGAAAATTGTTCATACATATACCTTTTTATTCTTTCTTTCTTTCTTCTTCTTCTCTCTCTCTCTCATATGTTCAGTCATACCTTTCCTCATTATAAATGCATTAAACATCTTTTAATCTAATTAGAACAAAACTGAAACAGATGCATTATCTAAGCGACAAAGAACACAGAATCATTTACATCTACACAAAAAACACGATTTTCAAAGGACGCCTGCCGTTTTAAAAATACGTTTGAAATAGAGATGTTGTATACAGAAGAACAAGTGCTTATTATTATTATTATTTAAGTTTTTTTTTTCGTTAACAAACATCATATTTGTTATATACGCATTAATGAATAAAATCATTTCGCTCTTCTATGCATGTAATCAATATCAAAAATACACCATGTTGTGCAGTTAGATGTTTATCTTAAATCGGCTTTTTTTATAATACATACTAGTCCATCATCTTTTGTTCTAAACTCATAAAGACGAAAGAATGAAATAGAAAATGGTATAAAAAGATTTTAATCGATTAAAACAGTTTTATTAAATTATTCTTTTTCTTTTTTTCCATGCTAATACTTTCTATTCTTATCCTTTATTCTCTTTACCGTCAGTTTTAAAATAGTCAAGAATTCTTAATTAATTATGCGCTTACTCATCAATGTTCATAAAGATCCTTTCAATAATAATAATAATAATATCGAATAGAGGACAAGATTTCTTTCTTTTTTTACGAAAATTATTTGTATATATATATATTCTTTGATGAATAAGGTGATTAATAATTTTTTGTTTTGTTCTTAATTGTCGGTATACAACAGCTGCAATTAATATTTTCTTACTGTTTCAGTTTTGAAAACAAACTGGCACATTTAAGACGAAGAAAGCTTATTTTTACTACCAGACACATGCAGACATCATCTATAGACAAAGCTCGAAATACAACATTTCTCAATATAATCAACATGATATGACTTTTGTTCTCTTTCTTTCCATTAATATACAAAACAATTTAAATGAAAAATTGTACAAGGATTAGACCCCCTGAAGATTGTATTAAATGTATGTGTACTGAACGTCGCAGATGGTATTTACACCATGTCAGCTACTTTATAAAAATTGTCACACACTTACTCTTATACATACACACACACACACACATATACAGATGAACGCCATTTTAGAAGGTTGATACTATTCTTGAAGTGAAGATGATGATAATTATAGACTTGTCTTTAAATTGAACGATTAAAGTTAGACTCCTAATAAATGGTGATATTCATTACGAATGACATATGTTTTGTGTATCGGTATCATACTTACTGTTGATAAAATATTTTCAAAATTTTTTTTCTTTTTCTTTTTTTTTATGTTTGATTAAAAATTTCTATTTTTTTAATTCACAAGAGAGTGAAATGAAGTAGAAGAAGAGAAACGTGTTGAACATAGCAGGGAATGTGTAGGCTTTTATAAAAAAAAAAGATACAACGTATGAATAACGAACTATTCGCTTGTCAATTTATAGGATTCATCATCATTTAACACATTGATATGAATGAGCAAAAAAAATAAATGGAAAAGTGACGATGACTGTAAATCTATCATAGATAAGCAATTAATAACAAGTATGCAACATAAAATGAAACTGCTGTCAACTAAAAATAAAAATCTAAAAGTTAAATTGAATTATTTTTCCATTCCATCGAATCAACTTGAAAAAATTGATATATTTTGTTGATCGACGAGAGAGACAAAGTAGATGATTCCATTTTCTTATATACTACATACTAAAAGGTAATACTCTATTTAATGTTTATGCCCTTTTCATATGATTCTCAAAAAGTTTATTCCGAGTTCAAATAGTTTTTCATAGAAAAAGCGTTCAAAAAAAAAATACGAAATGGAAAAATACTCGAGTATATTGAAATCCAGTATATATATATATATATGGTGAAAATTTGCAGTAAAATTTTAATGAAGTTTGTCTGTTGGTCTGATAGAGGTTTTAAATCGGAAAAGGGTGATTCACGGAAGCGGTATTTTTAAGGACTATATTAACTCTTCGAGAAAACATGTCGGAGAGATGAGAAAGCAAGAGATATCTTTAATTCACAATACTGTAAATGTGTCAACAAAAAAAGGTGTCAATTACCAAAAAGAAATGTTAAATCTATTTTTAGCTTTACGTAGCAAATTGTACGACTGTAATATCTTTTAAAAGAAAAGTTTTTATATCTTAAAAATAAATATTTTTCAAAAATGGAAGTAGTGAGTCTATTGAATGTTAAACTGAAGCATAATTTTATTTATTTTAGAGTAATTAGATTAGAACTAAAATTTGTAATTTAGCACTTTCTTTGATTTTTCATCATACTGAATATGAATTTTCTATAACATTTTTATCATTGCTTAATATATGATGAGTTTTAATTTAAAGCCATGGAAAATTTATTTTAGCAATTTGTTTTAAACGATTATTACATGTTTTATAATAATTTTCTAATACTATTCTTGTCTCATCTCTTATTTTTGGATGTTTTCGTCCTTTCGATGATCCAAGACAGCCATTTTTTGTTGGATGAAAATGATCTTTGATACATGGAAATGATCTTTTATAACGATTAAAATAAAAATGTTTTCGTTGAATATGTATTGTTAAATTTAAAAATTGTTGAACACGTAATAATTCTTCCCATGGTCGTTTTATTAAATTTTCACCATCAACAAAATGTATTTGATTTAATGAAAAATATTTTAACCATTTTATTAAATAACGAGAATAACAACCAATTTTTAATGGTGTCCATTGTTCATTAACTATTGTCGAATTTTTAATGAATACATAATCTTCAAATGTTAAATTTGATTTTCGTTTTGTTGTTAATTGTACATAATCAGATATGGCACGAATAATTGGATTACGAATAATAATAATTAATTTTAAGTCAATATTTGAAAATGTTTTTGCAATACGATAGACACTACGATTATTAATAAAATATTGAGGCGTTTTTTCCATTGTAATCTGATGAGGAGAAGACAATGGCATTTGATTTCTAAAAAAAATGAAAAAAACATAAATTAATGAAAAATATATTTAAAAAAAAATATCGATATTTTGATATTCCAATTTTATTTTTAAACAGATTATAGGTAGTTTACCTTCTTGACAATGAAGATCAATTATATTATCTGATCATCTAACTGTTTATCCCGAAGAGAAAACGATCAATTTTTTTCATGCAATTATATTGAATACCAAAGTGTCACCAACTAACAAGAATAACAATTTATTTTCGATATAAAATATTTTCTTTTTAAAAACATCGATCTATCTTCTTTTTTTTTGTTCTTTTTTCTTGACAACAAGTAAAAGAAAGAAAAAAAATAAGAAATATTAAAAGTGTTTAAACCAAACTTGTTCACACTCAAATTTTCACTTAGATCTTTATCATATTGCTGTTGGTAGTGTGTGAATAATAGAATAAGCCTTTCATACTCTGTAATTAACAGATTAAGATTACGATTATGATTTTATCATCAAAGTGATAACAACATAAGAAACAAAAAAAAGAAAAATTTGCATCATTTTCATCACAGTATGCTCCCAACGGATGTTGTCAGTATCCAAATAAAAAAAAGAAAAAAATCATTCGTGTATAATAAGAATACAAAACGTCGATTATGGTTGATAGTAGTCAAAATCTAACCTCATGTCTTTCAGATAAAATATTCTGAAATTTTATAAACGTATTTTTAATTTCTTTTTTTTTTATCATTGATTAATTACAGAGAGAGTCAATGATGCTCAATCAGCAACATATCATTAATCTCAGCTAATAGATAGTTTGACTTTTAAAAGATGATAAAGTATAGGTTATAAACGTTGGCAGCTATGATAATCAAAAGTTGTTGATGTTTTTTTGAAGAAAAATATTCACCAACAGAGATTTAAATGTAAAATTTTGTAATTTTCATTTTAAACATCAAACATTTAGATTCATGTTTAATATCACATGCCTTTATTCGAGTTTTAAGTTTCTTCTTGTAGGAAAATGGATAATCAAGGAAACAAATCCAATCATATATATCTTTATATTAGAAGTTATTGCCATGTATTTTCATTTGTTAGTCTCAAACGCGTTTAAATGTAATTTTTTTCGAGAAAGTCGATAATAAATGTCATCTAGTTTGAAATTGCATTTAAAAGCGATTATATTTAAACTCTCTATGTTTAAATTAGTTTTAGATTTCTAGTACAAAAGAAAATGACGCAAAATGCAATTAAACCTTAGCAGATTTTTTTGCTGTACGACGATTTCTGTTTTTATCCATGTCAAGAATCTAAAACTCATACGAAAATAAGCACATTAGAGAAACTGAAATATATCTAGAATAAATCCATCACGTTTAAACTCAAGTCTAAGATTAATTTTAAATTAGAATTTAATTTCAATGTTTTAATTTTTGACATATATTTTTGTAATGTTTTTCTCCCATAGTCTATATAACGTGTTTAAGTGCAATTTTTCATTAAAAATAAAATGGAAACAAACGTTATGAGATAGATGCTAACCGAGTTGATTACTATCTACATGTAAACGGGGGGCAAATCTCTTTTCAAATTTCTATTGCAGAACTGCAAAAGAATGACACTATATGTAATATAAACTGTATTTATTGCACATGTGAAGTAGACACATCGAACAGTAATTATTTTTCTTACGCGGCCACCAACATCCAACTATTTGTCGCCTCTATGTTAGTGAAAAGTAGTTAATTATCAGTCACACATAAAAAACGTGATCAAGTTATATTTGTTTAAAACAATTTTTTTAAAATGACTCGTTAACAGACATTAAAATTTAACTTTTTCAATAAATTCTTTTCAAATACGCAATCTGGAACTTGGTTCAGTACATAAAGTACGCTCCTCTGAAATGACTCGACTCATAAATGTCAATGAATCCAGAAATAAATAGATAAAAATGATAATTCACATCGATATATAAAGGAAAGGAACAAGTATGGGAGCCCTATATACGATGTGTTAAAATTTAAAATGAAATACAATGCACTTATAGATGAAATAAGATCAAACACAGCTAGTCATTAAAACGTGTTCTGAAACAAAACAATTTTATTTTTCTATCGTTTCAGTGCGTTGCAAAAGCATATGTAAAATGGACATTGTTCTAATGTTAAATACGTAAAAATAGATTATGTATTGTTTTAATCTTTTGGGTTTCTAATTTTGAATGCGTTTAAAAATATTTACTTAGAAAATGAAAACAACACCTTTGCTAACTTTGTATCAGTTAAACTCATTTTTAAAATGGTAGAAAACGTTTTTCTAAGTTAAATAGGACAATGGGTGTCGCCTAGTTTGTAAAAAAGATATGTCACACAATTTGTTGTACACATGAAAAGGAAGAGAGAGGAATACACAATACATTGATTCTTCTGCTGTTATAAATACATCACTCTGCATATATGTGTGTGTGTCTATGTGAGAGAGATTAATATCTATAACTTTTCGTCTTCTTTGAAGGAAGATATACTATATACACTATTTAAAACTTTGTTCAATGCCTTCTTATTTCCCCTAAATGGTTCATCTATCATTCAACAAGCTAAATAACATTTCCACCATTGACTTTTCCTCGTCTTCGAAAGAGTCATTAATTCTCCAGTTTATATGTCCATGATTGACCAAGTATTTCTGCATAATATATTTCATGTCAAACGTTTACATTTGCATGTCGTGCAGTCACCAAATTATGTCCACTTGATTCTTTCTCATTAGGTTATTTAGTCAATAAAAAAAATTTTTTTAGTCTATAACAAACAACGCAATAAAATGATTCTATTGTTAAATGAATGAACAAAAAAAAAAGAACGTTTTTCTTCCCCAATACAGATCAATCATCTATCAGCATCTTAATCGTTTTTAGTGATTTGGACGCCGCCTCATCATATAAATTATTTATTTAAAAGTGTGATAATGGTCAATATTCATATTTATAGACGATAGTAGTATATTATTGTTTGTCACATTCGTCGTCTTATTCTGCCCATCATCTTCTACTGTTAACTTTCTACACCCACTTGAAAGAGCAAACCGACTTTCTATTCATTTTTTTCTCTTCTTCTCATTCTTCTTTAGTTATAGGAGTTATACCGCATACATATGAATATATTCTTTGTTCTTTACAACTACAAAATTTATTGCTTTTTACTAAAGTGCTAATGATGATGATACTAATGAAAAAATACATTATTACTAATAATTTCTCATATCTTACACAAGGTCAATAATACAATGTCGATTCTACGTAAACTATCTACCATCGACAATTTGAAATATGTTACTCAAACTGTCGCTCATCTTACATTGACCAATACTTATTTTTCAAGATTTTAACTATTAGAGAAGTTTTTCAGTATCACTTTTATAGTCAAATTTTTCAAGTTTTGAATTAATATTGATTAAAATTGAGTTTATAAACTTAACTTTAGAACAACATATAGTCAAATTTTTAACAATTAATCTACTATTATATTGTCAATGTCATTTTTAATTAAGACAGACATGTGCTCACGTTAACATCAATGAATAAATTTTATTTGAATTTGTACGACTTCGTCTATGCAATCCTATACAATAATACAAGACATACACAATATCATACAAATGCGCACAGACAAGTTAAAATCATCAAACGAAATGATAGTATAAATCGAATCAATTAACTTGCATCGTAGTTTATATTTAGTTAGCATACATCTATCCGATAGAAAGCATTCGTTTGATAAATTCTATATTGAGAAAGAATTTACTTCTGGTGCTTAAGAAGATGACCAATTTTACTATCACTAGCGGATTTTTCACAACGAAGGATCTGACTTTTCTAATTCGATCATTTTATTTTGTATCATAACAAGAAATCTTAAAGAGCATGCATCTACGAGAAATATGATCTAGAGTAAATGAATGAAATAACCCAGAGGGTTATGAAGATGTGTATGATCGGTTCATGCAAAAAAAAAATAAGGGACCACCATCTCATCATTCACTTCATTTGTCATTTCAGAAGAAGCAAAAATTAAGTAAAAAAACAAGTTATCTATCGTCTTTCTCATGTTTTTACTTTTTTTTATTATTATTATGGAATCAAAGTAAATTCAAGGTAAATTTTTAATCAAAAATAGAGATGACACTTTATCACAACTCGTTCAAGCAACGCCATGATAACTTTAATGTATCACTCGTAACTGAACAGAGATAAGATACTAATATTCTATGAGTCAAAGTGCGATTTACTGGAAATAAGATGAAAAAATGTTTCAATAGAAAAAGAAATGCTGGGGAATAAACTGAGAATCTATTGATATTTCTTAACAATTAACTAGCAAACTTTGTGAATTCTCTACTGATTCATAATGATTATGTATAGATCAAACAAAAATTCCGTGTAAAATATGATAAAGCGCATCCAACAATAACAACAACAGCAACCGATAACAATAACCATCCATCAATCATTACCAGCTGCTGTATTGACACATTGATTTAGTCTCGTTTACATATTTTGATCTACTTCATCTCTTCTCTGTTTTTTGTAACAACTCTGTTCTATATTCAGGAACTATCATTTTTCTTCTTTTATATGATGTAATAATCCTTTACACATATATCATCATCAAGATTTGCATAATATGATAAACGATCAAACAACAATGATTGACCTGTTTTTACAAATAATAATAATAATAATAATATTATCGTCGTCACACTTACTGACATCAATACTTAGAGTAATTCATACGCGAAACGAAACAAGGAAAGATTAAATTAATGCTGCGCACACTTGTTAAATGTTAAAATGATTAGGCAATCGAGAAGAGAAAAAAAAAGAAAAGTGAACTCTTTTAGCAAAAATGAATACAACTTTTTAAAAAAGATAATGATTGTCATATTCTATCTGTAAATTTTAAATAACAATCTGGTGCCTTATTCATCATATAATAGTAGTCATAAATAACCAGAAGATTCTTTTTGTCTACAAAAAAGAAAAAGTACATTTTGAGACCGTTGACTATTCAATTTTTCAGCTCATAATATCATGCGTCAAAATGTGTGAGAAACCTTTACCAATTGACAAACTATAGTCCATTATAGAATAATTATTAGTAATTTTAGTGTAAACATTTCTATTTTTTTTTTAAGAAAACTACAAGTAAATAATCATCAGGATAAAGTCATTTTATATTTCTGTTCTCTTACCTGTACCAATCTAAACCATTATGATAATTTTGATCGAAAAAATGTACTTCGTTCAATGATGCTGCAACATCCGGATGTGCTGATATAAATTTTAATAATGCTCGTGTTCCACATTTTTTAACACCAATGATAATTGCTTTTGGTAAATGGTGCTGGTTTATTTCACCGGTATTATTATTATTATTATTATTATTATTTAATGTTAAATTATTATTATCATAATGAAGAGTTTTTTTAAACAAATAATTTTCTCCATATGATGGTATACACATGATTAAAATAAGAAACAGTATTCTATGATTCATTACATGACAAATTTAATCCATCCACAGTATGACGACAACTTGATTAATATTATACAAACATTATTGAAGTGGTTGAACATCATCGTTCATTAAAATAATAACTTTAACTTTGCTCGTACAAGAAAAATACAAGTTAATTGATCATAAGAAGAAGAAAAATTGTTCAACTCAGGTTTTCTGTGAATGGACAAGATGATTACATGCAAACGTTTTTCCGTTCTAATTCGAAAAAGAAGAAGAAGAAGAAAAAAAAAAACAGCCGGAAAAAGGATACAACAATTATATATTGTTCGAAAAGGAGAGAAAAGAAAAAGTTGAGAGAATGAGAATGAAAAAGAGAGAGAGAGAGAAAAAGAGAGGAAGAGAGAGAAAGAAAGAGATGAACTAAGAGAGGCAATCGGAAAGATGGTACAAATAGGTGTGTTCTGTACACACACTAATACAAAGAGAGAGATGTTACATGAAGAAAAAAGTGCTCATCACACTGTCGCATAGCCTGAAGGCCGTATTTATACAGAAAAATAATGATTATTCAAAGAAGAGTATATAGTCACATAGAATATTGTGTTGGTATACTTTTCATTCGTTTTTTTTTTTTATTTTATTTATTGAACGTGTCATTTGTATGTGAACAATACAATACCACGAAATTGTAACTGTTCTACTTCGTCTATATCTTATGATCCTTTTTCTATTATTGAACAAAGGAAAGAAATCTTAGAAAAAGAAACTATTGCCTGTTAACTTTCGATAAATTTTCAGTTATCACTATAAATGAATATTATATTTTAATGATATTTTAGACGTTGTCTGTTGAGAAGATCCAGTTATAGGAGATTTAGACCACTTCTTGATAATAATTGCAATATCATTGAAAGAATTCAATCTTCTAATCAAATTTAAGTTATTAATCATACCAACTACTATATTTTAACTTAATATCAATACCTAAAATGGAAATAGTTTACTTTTGTATGTCAATTTGGTTTATGTCGCTAGACATACTTTGAATGACTCGGTCATCTCTTTCAAGTGATTTATCTCTCTGTATATGAAACTAAACGAATATGAAACATTTTTCTTTTGTTTAAAATATAAAGGCAACATTAGTCTATGATGCGGTCTGTTTTGACATAATAAATATAGAGTAGAGACGTCAAAATAATAAGATATCAAACAGTCAGAGTCATAAGAGATTGCGTGTGAATTTCATTTTGATTATGAAACATTTTAAGAGTAAGAATATAGTCTGATGAGAAATAAGATAAACAAAACCTTGGTATAATATCGTAGTTAAGATTTATTATGTTTATTGTTAGATAAACGCTTACAGAAGATTCTAAATATCAATAGACTGAGGGTACACAAAGATGTATGCAATTAGTTTGAGTTATAGTAGTCTAATTTATATCATTTATTGTTTGTTTATCTTTATACATATGGATTATACAAGGAAACAATTGAATACCTTCAACATTTACAGTATTCATTTTCTAAAAAAAAAATTTCTTATTCAATTTTCTTTTTTCTGCAATATTAACCCGTACGACCTTTTCACTATTATTTAATAATTATGTCATTCATAGTAGAACAAGTGTTTTCTCAACTTATTCAAGGTGTTGAAAAGAAGGACCTTGTGATGTTTTTTGTACCATAAATATAACAAGCTTGCTGTAATGATTGTAAAATAAGTGTTAGATTCCTGTTCATCTCGACAAATAATTGAATACGTATTGGTACACAATTAACAAAAATAGAAATTATATGGATAAGCAAGCAATGCACATAATTATATAGTACAGTATGATGTAAGATATTCACAATAGCAGCGAGCCATTAAAATAATATATTTTAACTAACATGAAATACATGTAATGATGAATAAATTTATATCAGTCACCTTTACTCCATGAAACATGTTAATAACTTAAAATTTTTCAATTGCAAGAATGATGATCGTGGGTTCAAGTTGTCTTTGATCCATCAAGCGGCTTTTATTATATGAAAAAATAACAGTAATATCAATATATTTCATGATAACAGATCATGGACAAATAATTATTACGACACACAACCTTTAATATCGAGTAAACATGCATTCTAATTCTCATCAAAATATACAAAAGTATAAAGTAAAATATCCGTGTGTTAAAAATCTTCAAAGCGGTGCTACACTTTCATTCTTTTAGAAAATAGAATCAAGATAAACACAGTATTATAAAGTAGAATAGAAAAATATTACTCGTTATCATCCGAAAGAGGGCAGTAATTGACAAAAATGTTTGAACAAATCATCTTATCATCATGTTATGATCTCTTATGAGGAAAGGTCCGCGAGTACTACCTTGGATTTTTCTTGAAAACACACTTGATTATGGATAATTTTTGATGCTGATCACGAATCTGATATCCTGCCATCCCCATACGACCTTTCAGAACCTCAGTTCAAACTCGGCATCTTCAGAAACCTATAGTGAACTTTCGTCTGAACAACTTCTGATAGTGCAAGATTGTAGAGAATATTAAGTTATCTCTGTGGACAAGTTCTGAGAAATAAAGGACAGGTTTTCATTGACTTACAGGTTTTGTATGGGAAAAATACCTCAATGATTCTTATTTTGGTTGGATAAAACACTGAAAATTTTATAACTACGTGAAAACTTGTCCTTTATTTCTCAAAACTTGTCCACAGGGATAACTTGATATTCTCTACAATCTGACACTATCAAACTTGTTCAGACGAACGTTCACTATAGGTTTCTGAAGACAGCGACTTTGAACAGAGGTCCTGAAAAACCATATGGATGGACGGACATTAGATCCATGATGAACATCAAAAATTACCCATGATCAAGTATGTAAGATGACACTCGTAGACCTTTCCTCGTTAGAACGCCACATACTCGATGGAACAATATGAAATTCTGAAATAAACTATCGCGTAGTCCAGATTAAATGGCGGTCTTAGTATTTCGTCAATATCTCTTTTAGTTTTCATTTCTTACACTTGAACTTTTCCCAAAAGATTCTCCGTTCAATTCTTTACAAGAATGGCAAAGGACGTTTGATTTCAAATTTAAATAAGAAAAATTGGAGTAATAATACTATGGAACTTCCACATGTCCAACTTTCTAACGCACTTTTCTAAAAGAACTTCGATGCTTTCTATGATTGTTCAAATGAAACAAATCGCTGACGCAACTTTTTTCATACAATTCAGAGTGCTCTTTCTCGTGGTGTAGGATGAACTCAGTTTCAATCAAGTATTATGATTTAAGAACTATATAATTTCCTGAAATTGCATAAACGACCAGATTTTAGCATATTTTGCTCATTGCATTCGGAAAATTTTTTTTTTAAAGTTCATAAATCTGGGCTGCGATATGCCATTCATTTCTCTTTAATATAAAATTAAAATAAGCACAAAAACGTATTTAATCAACAGATGCAAACTTTCTGAATGCTCTGAAACTGCTGTTTCAAAAACGTAATTTTTGCAAAATATCAAAAAAAGAAGAATTTATCATACGCTGCACACTGTGGCGCGAGAAATCTTTTTATTACAACTAAAAGACAGAACTTTTGAAGCGCTACTATGATGGCTAGTTAGTTCATTTTCTTAATGCCTGAAAGTGCGAACAAAAAAAACCAAGAAAATCTATTTTTTTTCCTGGAGACCTTAGAAAGTTGGACATGTTGAAGTTTCACAGTATTATTACTTCAATATACATAAGGATAGCCCAGACATATCTGTCCTTCTGTCCGAAACGCTCCCAAGACACTAAACAGCGCCAATGTATTGGGTAAAACCCAAAACACAAACGACTCTAAAACTTGATTGACCAGAAGGTAACCAAGGGTGGGGAATCCGATATCAGAAATGAGTTATGAGTTATTAATTATTATTAGTTAATAAATCAGTTATCGAAAAATGAATGAAAAAATGAATGAAACGCTGGGCGTCCG